TGGCGGCATCATGCTGTGAACATGTTTTACTCTGAACGGGCCTGAAAGAGTAGTCAGGACTATTAGTCACAGAGCAATTCCAAGTGGAAACCTTTACCACCATGCTGCGGATTTCAGGCTCAGGCTGAGATTAACATTTCAATAAGCTAACGACCTGAAGCATACCACCAAAAAGTACAGGTGTGGTTTTTGAAAAGCTCCTGGTTCATTCCTGATATTATTCTGTGTCCGGGTGATAAGACTGCTGGTCATCCAAACCAGCACACCTACATAAGTCCTACTACCATCACCAAGTCACTAGGTGCAATAAACTTCATGTTAAATCCACACCTGTGGCCTACAACTCCACAAGAAATTAAATACAAAGAATACCTAGTAAAATATATTACATTCTTCTTACATCCAGTGACTTTGCGCACCTCCAGTATAAAAATATTCAACATTTACGATGCAGGAATTGACAGATCACATTTTATTTCATACTTTAATCCTCGTTTCACAAGATGGAGAAATCTAGGCAGCGGTAAACTACCCTCTACTAACTAAAACTTTTGCAATGACTGTGCACTAACACTATTCTGACATAACTTCCAGAAGAAATGTGTGCCAAACTTGTATTAAGATTCCCAAGAAGACTCAATGCACTGCTGACAAAGGTGCTTTCACTGAGTTCCAAGTGAAGAGTCTGAATACAGATGTAGATTGCATAACTCTAAGGATTTATTCCTAACAAACTTGATGAAGAATTGTCTTATTTTAGTCTGTTGTCTACAGACTGAAAGACAAACACATTTTTTTGTATTTTAAGATGAATCTGAAACATAAAATGGGCAAAATGTGACACAATATTCAGGATGAGTCACCACACTGTAGTCTCCTGGCTTATTTGACCTTTATGTAGCTAAAAGTTCAAAGTTCATGGTTTCTAAATTGTAACCATATTTCATTAATACGTCTGGGTGACTGTGTTCCAGACGTGCATGCAGCCTGAAGTGTTGGCTGCATGCAGAAGCAGACTCAGATATCTGGACAAGGTCAATCTCTTTGCAACACAGCAAAGGGGCGATGCACGACAGTGCTATTTTCCCCATTGGATTATATTTAGAACCGCAGGGCTCAAAGCACTGAGTCGGGAATTAAACACCACTGGATGTCTTCACATCAGCGCACAGGACATTTAACACCTGTTCTTAGAGAGTCGTTTCAAAATAGGCCTACTACAATTTATCAGTACGCTTCAACACGGCCATATACAGACACACGGAGAAGACTCAGACTGCAAACAGTGAACACGTTAATTTAAATCCTACTGATCATAACAAAAGGCCTGGCTGTGCAGTCTCACGGGATGAAAGCAGGTTTGATCTGTCTTGAACACTAAAACAATCGCCAGATAATCAAAGCACCACTTGGACAGATTAAAACATTTATTCCTGCACCTTTAAGATTCTGGTCAGCAGTTTTGTTTTGTTTTGTTTTTTAAAGCAATCTTTTAAGGAACCTATTTCAATGGGGACCGAGAGAAAAGGAAGTATCGAGACAGAGCCTTACATGCAGACTCATTGAGAAGGACTTCCCTCTTGTGCCTTTTTGAAAGAGGGCTGTTGCATAACCTGATGGAGGCACTGTTAACAGACAACAGATGTCCTCATTGAACCCAAAGGGAGGCAAGACACTTTCATGGGAACTCATTTTCATTACAAATAATACACAGGAGGGCAAAATAATCACCAACCTGAAAAGGGGCATGCTGGCAGAAGGATCATGCTGTAATTTAAATTAAATAGAAAGACCACCCAGCCCCCTGACATTCACACAGTTAACTCGTAATCATGTACCTTTTCTGTCATGTCCCTTTGTGTTTCCATGTATAAACCTGGCCTTGCTTCCACTTTCCATGTTTGTGAGTAGGTCTTGTCCTGACTTGCCCTCTTTTTTTATCCAATCGGTTTGCTGCTGCACAACGGGAGCCCAATGAGCATTAGGGGCATGGCAGGGGCTTGGTGAAGAAGGCGGACCTGAGGAGAGGCAGCTCCAGCATGATGCAAGGAGGCCTGATTTACAAGATTCCCCAATACTCCAGAAAGGCTCTGTGAAAGGATCACTTGGAATGCAGTGAGTCATCCAGATAAAGTTTCCATGACGTGACAAGTAAAACGGTTAAAAAGTCTAAATTCTGAAACTTCAATTTCAAACCCACAAAGCATTTTCTTTTCACTGGTGTCAGATTTCAGTCTTCATTTTTAAAAAGAACATTACCAGAAAAAACTTATAGTTATGAACGCACACAGAACGTGCTGTAAGTCTGGCAGCCGCCACATGCTGTCCCTGCTGGGAGATAAAGCCCAGTCGCAGCAGTATTTGAACTACAGTAACCCTGTACAGGACTGTACAGGTTACAGTGCAGTTAGGACCATCTGTACCCAGAGGCCCTGCAAGGGGCTGCAACTGGCACGCTGCGTCTCAGTATAATAAAATATATCTGCACCGAGACTTGAAACGGAGTCCCATATGCTCCAGGCAAACATTCAGTTGCTGTATTATATTAGTTCTGATATTCTAATATTCTTATCAGTGCTGTAGCAAGAATAAATATGGCCCTTATTAACTAACCTTTGATTTCCATTCTTTCATTTTATGCAGATTTTTAAGAGTAAGTAGCTGTAATCTCATAAAGATTAAAGTGATGACTTGGATTAAATTAGATTTAATGGCTCTTTTATGTCAGTTTTAAGCATTTTTGCTGCTGCTTTTCAGTACTGCAGGGCTGATAATAGAAACATGTGCCCACTCCCTTATGGAAATGGAAGTTGTTGTTAGATCCATTTTATCTGGAGTTCAGTGACCCAGTGCAGGCGTTCCCATCATGAACAGCTACCCTACAGACTAAGCAGAAGTTGTGGCACGTCTCGCACGATGCCACCTTCTGGTATTTTGGCTCAGCTGCGTCATAGCACAAGCACCACCATGTCCTCAAAAGCAGCGTTAGAAGAGATAAGATGTGGTTTAAAGAAGTTTCTGTCTGAAATGTACTGTTTTCATATGGTCCTGTGATCATGCTGAATGAGGAGGGAGCACAGACGTCGGCAGGATGGTTGTTTTCACACAGGCTTCTTTTTGCTGTTGTGGTCTTAAGTTTGCATTCACTGATCATTTTTTAAAACAGTTTTTAGCTTTTTTCCAGGTGGAATGATTGTACAGCCGATATTGGGAAAACCAAGCTTGAAGGTGTTGATTTTGTAGCAGGAGCATCTTTCTTTGTCAGCAGCACCTCAGTACACAGATGTAAAACTTGCTTCACTCTGGACAGTGACGCTGGTGATCCAGCAATTTCCACTTCCAATTTCCTCTAATCCGAGGGTGACAGTTTGGGACGTCTTTCCAGATATTGGGAAAGTGATGACACATCAGAATAAAATGTACTTACGTACAATTGCTTGAACTGATGATCTTGGAATCTGCAGTTGTTTAGAAATGTCTCCAGGAGATCTTCAATTCTCCAAGAGAATTAATCAATCAACCAATTGATTCCTAATTCAAAAACTTCTCAGAGCTTCACAGAGGCCTTGTCGAATTAAAAGACAGTGGTGCTGAGGGTTCTACTATAATTAAAACATTTAAATGGGTTTATGTAACATTTGAACCTCTGTTGATGTGAGAAAAGCCCAAATAAAGTCAAACCTGTGCACCCAATTCTTATTTTCCTTAAAGATGAATGCTGCGCAATCATTCCACCTTGATAAAAGAGCATTTAAAATAAATCTTTAAAAGCTCAAAGTCCCACGATATTCATGCCCCTGATGACTGTTTGACAACTGCATCTAAGCCCTATGATTAAAAAACAAAAACAAAGAAAAAAACACAACATATGCACACAAATCATAAAGTGCTAGTCAATCGAAATCTTACATTTAAATGTATTACTGGGAACAGCTTTAAGAGACAGTAGATTGCTGCTTTCAGCTTTAGTACTGATAGACTTGCTGACATTTGTTTATCAGCATCAAATGACTAAACCTGCAGCTCTGTTACAGACCAGGAATACTATTACAGCAACAGATCACCAGCAGGGTGACAAAGTCTTTCTACAAGCAAGTCAAAACAACCCCGGGAACTTATTCTGATCAGTTATCCAGTTAGACTTAGTTTTTAAAAGATTATTATTCGCCCCTGGAAGTTATACATCAACCGCTGTGTAAAAACCAAACAGCTTTTACACATTTTTCCATATTCTTTACTGTGTTGTTGTTAATTTTTGGTGAAACATAGCTATAAATTGGTTGCCATATAGCATATACTGTATAAACAGAATAGGTGTATCCACACCTTTTTAGTCAATAATTGATTCTTTCCACCTAATTCAATTCTTTGTTGTCAGTTATTTATTTTTATGAGCATTTTTAAGTTGTTGTTGTTGTTGCAAAAACCTGTTAATAGCCAGAAAAAAAAAAATCCTGATCACTGCAGCCCACAATGATGGGAACAACCATCACTGGACGGGTCAAAGAGCAGCCTGCTAGAAAGCATGCAGTCACTTATCCCTTCCCACACTGACACTTGTAAACAGAAGTTACCAGAACAAACTGAAGCTGAGGTCAGCTGAGTGGTTTACAGCTTTGAAACTATACCTCACCGTTTGCTCAGCTGTCATTAAACTGTAAACTTGTTCATGATTTTGAGCACACAAATGACTTTTTAACAACTTAAAAGCTGACAATACAACAATTCAGCTACAGGATAATCTTAGGTGCAATAAATAAATACAAATGCTATATTAAGATACTACGAGGGCAGGCAGGGCTTTATTGTTTGCTGAACAAAGGGAGGAAAAGCTTATTACCGAGCTAAACTCAACTGTAAAGCAGTTGAAGCCCCACTGAGAAGTCTTTCTTGACTCAAAATTCTTATTAATATTGGTATTATTATCATTATTATTAGTCGCACCAGGAAATATGTCAAAATTGGACTTTATACATAAATTTGACATAAAAGACATTAAATTATGATTCACAACCATGCTTTATTCTTGTTTATTTCTTATAAAAGAATCAAATAAAAGGCTCTCTGAAGATCTCACACTTGTTGTATCCCATTTTCTTTAACTAAACTATACTTTTCTTTACACCTTAAGTCTCTTCATCTTAAATATCTTTTGTTAGTTTGTGACTTCAAACCAAAACTTCATTGATTGTCAACACAAAATCTAGTGTAGCACCAGTACAATAAAACTGTACTTTTGCTTTTTTTTCTCTTTTTTTCTCCTTTGTTTTTGAAATACTGTTTTTGAATGAAGGAGGGAAATCTCAGAATAAAGGGATCCTAATAATAAGTACATTTCAGAATGAAGCACCAACCATAGAAAGTATTTTTCATAGATAGGGTTGTCAGATACACAAGAGATCAAATATATTAATGACTATTAAATTAAGCACAACAAACAGTGTAAATAAAACACTGCAACACAAAGCACTCTGGGAGCTGGAAACACCATATTGGGAAGTTGGGGGACCGTCGTGGCTCCTCTGGACTCCAGAGATGGTAGAAAGTTTCCTCTGAGAGAGATCCACAGGATTCTGTATTAGGACGCGTAGAGAAGACTACTGTCTGTCCAGTTCTGTAAACAAACTCTGCGCCTCAATGTCCGAAACAGCCTTATTTGATACTGCAACCAGGGACCGGAACAGCTTTCGCGGGCCTGCCTCACCATGTGAAATGCACAGGAAAAAAATCAACACTTTAAATTATCAGGTCCATTCAGAAATGATCTCGAGGACACCGGAAGTGAAAAATGGAAAGGAGGCTCTGAGCGGGTGATTAGGTCTGAATGTTATGTGCCACGATCTCTTCTCTGCAGGTCTCCAGATCTCTCAGGTTGACAGAGAAACCATCTGGGCCAATGGCCTCCCTGACTTAAGCGTCTTAGCTGTACGCAAGACTTCACCAAGATAAAAGCCTTGGATTATCTCCCGTCGAAAAATATCGCTTTCCCTCAGGAACAAACTAAAACAAAAAAGTCCTAAACATTATCCGTCCTCTGCCACAAGAATACATTTATAGAATCAAATGTGTTTACCCTGATGGCAAGATATACATATACACTACCATGTACATACATAATTAATAAAAAGGTTTACTCAATAGTTCTCATGTATTCAAATATACCTATAGATAGGAACCTGAAAGCTGCTATCCAGCATCGACAACTCCTGTGTGCAGGTCCTTCAGATGACTTCTGCCAAAGGTCAGAGGTCATCGGTGGAGTGTCAGTCGTTACTGTAGCTGGAGATAAAATCTTTGACCCTCGTTACAACGGACGGAGAGGTTTCCACTGAGCTGCTGCCTGGAGGGAAGGCTGACAAAATGACAGTTTGCGTGGTGCTGGGGCGCAGCTCAAGAGAGGCTATCGGCTGTGAGGCTTCCCTGTGTTTGTCACTACCTCTTCCTCTTCCTCCTCGTCCTCTTGTAGGATGTGAATCGAGGAACCCAGTAATCTCTGGAGCTCCGGTACACAACGCACCAGATCCACAAGTCCGTCTTCGTCCTCCTCTTCTTTCTCTTCCTCCTTAGTTTTGCTTTTGTAGGGAGAAACCAAAGCGGAGCTCACCTGGCTGACCGATACCTGCCTCCAGAGCTCAGCGTGCGACAAACTCACCACCTCCAAGTGTGGATACCGCGCCCGGAAAATCCGCGCAGACATCTTCAGGCGCTTCAGGACATCCGTCAGCAGGAACCAGTTGCAAAAACTGCAAAAGCAAAACATCAGACATCAGCTGAAGGTGGCATGCACAACACGAGAGCTGGCAGTTTAGGTGTAAGCGTCGTCAAATGAACAAACATGAAACTACAGTCCAGTTTTTTGTCCAGACAGACAACAAAAGCAACAATATATTAATGCACCACAGAGACACTTATTAAGTCTCGTATCGTTTCAAGTGTCACAAAGCAGTGGCATAACCTGAAAAAAATATGGTTGCCCCAAAATGATGGGAAATATCCAACTTTGCCCGCTTGCACACTGGTTAAGAATCCTTCCAAAAAGTCCTGGATCCAGATCAGCTTCAAAACCAAATCATTACTAAGCTGGGCCAAGCCCCAACTCTGGTAAATGCCCCATGTAAATCCCTCAAAGTTCTGAGTAATCCTACAAAAATGCAACAAACCGAACTAAACCCATAACCTATTTGCCAAAGGTAACACATGCTGAGGCAATGACCTGATCTATTAAGGTTTTCTTTGCAGAAATAACATCTGATAACTCCCCATACTAGCATCACCATCTGATAGTAATTAAAGTACCTGACCAATGAAACTGAAGCTTAAATATTGTGTTTTTGTAGACAAAAAAGCAGAAATATTTCTCATCATCCTGTACTTGTTCCCCTTTACACGTAGGAACAATAACAACTCATGACATTAAAAATGTTGGTTTGGAACATCGTGCAGATATCTTTAGTACATTTCCAATAAATGTTTATGTACCAGAAGCTGAAGCAACTGCGGTTTACTTATAAGTCTTAACCATCAGTATCTGCTATCATCATAGCCTATCTGCCCTAAATTGCTGTAATTCTTAGGCATATTGCAGAGCGGTGACCAAATTTAGATGACATTTGAGTGGCCTGATATTGTATTACCCCCCAAAAATCTGATTTATTACCGTGTGGTTTGTCGCCAGTAAACTCTCATCGTTATGAACTTACCCCTGTGTTAATGACACCTGCACGTGATAGCAGGGTAGCAGAGGCTCCGAGGAGAACTCGAACATAAGACAATCTTTGTCCGACTCTTGCTCGGTCTTCCCCGTTACATTCTCCTCCAACTCCTGGTTCTGCTCAGACAGCAGGAAGTCCCAGCACGGCTCCTGGTCAGTCTCTGTGAAGGGAAGAGTTCACTGAGGTGAGAAAGGGAGGAAGAGCGGACAAGCTGGCTGTTACTGTACTAATGAACGAGGTCTGCATGCCCTCTAGTGGGCAGTATATACCAACAGTTACACACATACAACTGGTGACATATAAAAATACACATAAACACACTTCATGGTGTCAGTCACAGCTTCAAATATAAAAGCAGATGAAAAAAAAGAAGGAAAAAAAATAAAATAATATATATATATAGAAAACGCCAGTTAGACGACAGTTGGCTTAAAGGGAGAGGAGCTAAAACAGCTTTTTTTTCCAGGCAGGATGAAGCACATGTTCAGTCAATGAATAGAAACACTGAACTGGAAATGAACATAAAAGTCTCCTTTAAACCTGTATGAAAACAAAATACAAACCTCTACAGTGGATATATAAAGTGCACAATGACAACTATAATATCCATGCTGCCATTGACTGGCAGATTTTGATAAAATGACTGAAATAGCTGGCATTACTCAATGAAAAACAAAAAAAACTAACAGTTAACAAACCGCTGCAGTTATAAAACCTGATTATCTTTTGTCACTCAGACTGTTCAGAAGCTGTAGACCACTTTGTCTTTAGTCTCCTTCAGACCTTCCAAGCAACTCTAATCCTGCTTTCCTTCCACTAGATAACTGGCTCCCTGTGGCTGATTACAACAAAACACGGATGCTAATACTCAAAGCTAACACCCCCTCCATGTGCCAGTGGTCAAGCTGGAGCCCAGTCTATAAACTGGCTTCCATTCCCTGTGACTCAGGAGCAGCATAGGAATGCAATTTCAATTACTTTTATGCCACCATGCTTACAAATTAAAGCTGGGTATTTGATTGATCAATGGGCTGACATTCAGCAGACTGACAGGTTCAGCGTGAAGGTTACTCACCGAACAGCGAGCTGCTGTAGAAATCCCAGGGTAAACTAGGATCCTGTTCATTGCGGCCTTCCAGGTCTGTGAAATATTCTGGAGAAAAGAAAAAATACGTGGTATTATTTTTTTATGACTCTGGCTGTTTGCATGTTATGACTTCTACGTGGAAATATGTGGATGAAGGCTGATGCTAGTGCTTGTTCTGGACCAAGCAAAACGTACAATGGTATAAGGGTGAAAGAAAAGTGGACTAAATTAAGACCATCAGCAAAGAAAACAAAGTTAGAGCTTGTGCATGTGATACGGTCCATTGTGTAGCTCTGTGCAGCTACCAGTACAAGGAGAAAACAGGCCATCAGAGCTGCATGTCTGTCTTTCTGTACCAACTACTGAGCCTTCATCTCTCTGTTTATCTGTAGCCACTTTCACACATGCACTGCAGCAGAGCTGCTTGATTATGGCAAATATAAACACAGTTGTTTTAGTCAAAACTGAGATCACAATTATTTAACACCACTAGTCACAGACTTACAGAAAAAACTCAATAAAAATAACCAAGTTGTCCTCTTTACTGTGGCTTTCATTAAATTTTAACACAAATTCTACAAAAAATTATTTGATAAAACACAACGAAAGAGATATGAGCTGAACTAAACAAGCCACAGCCTGGTGGAGTGTAATTGTGAGCTCGTAGAGAGCAACAAAATTAAAAGTTTGGCGAACTGAAAGACGAAACAAAGACGGGGACCTCTAACTTCACTGTGAAATAGAATGCAAACAATTTACCCTGATTATTTTTAATAATTGTGAGAACCCAAAATTGTAAGTAATTTTGTGTCTATGACAATCAAAGTGCCCCAATAAATGAGATCGGACAGTAAATGGTGTTTGCTCGGTAGGCAGGGGTGATGTCTGACAGTCTGAATTCACAGCGAGTGAAAATGCGTCATGTGGCCTGCCTCGTGCATGCTCATCTGAGCTGCCACCCTTCACCTCAACCAGACAGCGCAGTGAGAACGTGGCTGACATCATCCATCTCCTGTTGTGTGGTGCAACTCTGGATAATATCCGCACTCTATTCTCTCAACACTGTTGATGTGTAAAAACTGCCTGGAGATGCACGTACGACGTGAGATTCAGCAGCAAGCAAACACTGACTTATGTGAATTATTTATTGTTTAACCTGGCAAAGTGCTGAAAAGACACCTTTAGCATTGCATGAAAGTGGTCGTGTTTATTAGAGGTGCAACAATACTCGTATCGATATTGAACCGTTCGATACAGTGCTTTCGGTTCGGTACGCATATGTATCGAACAATACAACATTTTTTATTTATTTTATCAACTTTTTTTCTGACGATGCTGTCTGTGTTGAGCGCTCAGTGGATCTGCGTTCGACTACTCCGCCTAGGCTGCACTGTCGAGCGCAGATCCACTGAGCGCAGCGCAAGCTAGCGAGACAGAAGCTAAGCTTGTTGCAACATGACAACTGCCTCAACGCTACCCGAAATTGAACCTCCACCACCCTCATTCAGATCTGGCGTTTGGAACTATCTTGGTTTTCATGTGAAGCATGACCCTGATGGTAAGCGTGTCATGGACTAAAGTAAAACAGTATGTCGGATGTGCCACGCAATGCTCAATTTGTGGGAACTAGTGCGTTAGCTTGTGTTGACACCGTCCAACCCCCCGCGGTAACTTCTTAACAGAGATTTGCCGTGTTGTGGCGTTAATGTCATTTCAACGAGATTAACGCTGACAGCACTAGTGGGAACACAACAAATATGACTGCACATTTACTCCGACATCATCCTAGTGCAAAGACAAGTGGAAGCAGACAAAAACAACAAGCACGCATGCTACAAACGTTACCCGAGTCATTTAGACAGCCGTTAGCACAGGATTCTCCTTATGGGGACCTGATATGTTTAATATGCTGCTGAGAATATAGCCCAGAAGAAGCGGATAGTATAGCTTTTATTTTGGAAAGAGCCATTTCTCTGTAATAAACTCTTTTCCAAAGATGAGGGATTCCTCGATCAGATTTCAGCAACATTAAATTTAAAAACTGTACTTTTGAGTTAAAATATATATTTATAATTTTAATAAATGATAAATTAAAAAGGCATGAACATTTTCTGTATCAAAAAAAATATCGAACCGTGACACCAAAGTATCGAACTGAACCGAACCGTGAATTTTGTGTATCGTTGCACCCCTAATCTTTATAACAAGCTGGCTTTGGGTTTTTTTCTTGCAGCCACACAAAGCAGTAACTTTGGATGGGGAACAGTTTCTGAGGAAAGCAGATTTTAACTGATTCCAGGGAGGCAACTTACAGCAATCATATGTCATCCTTCCAAATGCTTATTTATAAAAATTAATTAAAAGCTTACGGCACAAAAAATGATTTGTTCAGAAAAGTTTTTCTTCCGTTTTTACAGAACAGCAATCTATTAAAAAGTCCTTCCAAATTTAACAGACATGTCAGAGCTCATCACCGCAGCTTTTTACTTAAATTCTCCTTGTTACTTAAAAAAACAACAACAAAAAAAACCCTAAGGATCCTGGTTCTTATAACAAACACACAGTGATGTCTCCTAATTGTTTTCTAACATCCAAACACACAAACACTCTCTTGGATGTGTTGTGGTTCAGCATCTTGCCCAAGGATACTTCAGCACATTACCAGGAAAAGTGAGGCAGGCATCTATCCACAGGTTTGTAGATGACCCACTCAGCCACCTGAGCCACAGCCACACCCATATGTTGCTGATTTTCTCCAACTCACAAATGCACTGGACTGTTATCTAATGTCATATCTGCTTTGTGTGATATCAGTTGACAAACCATTCCTAACAGGATTAAGCATAAATCAATCAACACCTAATCAGTCACAAGACATATTTGATGAGCTCAGTTTGTTTCAGTTTAGTAGTACACAACCAAATTCAACTGGAAGACAACAAAAACAATGATTTAAACAACTGTCAGGCTCTTTGTGGATGGAAGAAGATTTGACTGAAATTCTTATGTATTCTTCATGTAACCTGTATTGTTCAATTCTCAAAAGCGATGCAGTGGGAGTGGGCGCAGAGTTTACTAATGTGTTGACACACTGCTTGATGGATGACTGTAAAGTTACAACTTCAATTATTTATTTTCCCGTCTCATTCTAAATAGCTTTATGAAAGCATTTGCTGTGTCACCAAATGTTTGTTGATGATTAAAAAAAATGAATTTAACAAAGAATAAACTGTTAATCTCTTGTCCAGTGGTGTAAAGGTGAATAAGAAGCGTGAACTACCTGTGAGGAACTTCTTCATGCTTGCACTATGTGCCAATTTGACTGGTGTATGTCCAGAGTAGGTCGCCAGAGTTGGGTCTGCACCGTGGTTCAGAAGCAACCAGACTATTGGTAAGTTATCACTTGCTACTGCATCGTGAAGTGGGCTGAGGGGAAGAACAGACAAAACACAAAAGACTTTTAGCATTTGCACAACTTTACATTACACAGAAAATATTGAAGACTGTAGGACAATGACCTCTAACTTTAGTTATACATGCTGTTTCCAGGGGTCATGCTTAGATTTATTACAAAGGTTACACATATGACAAGTAACTCAAGAAGAGTCCTGCTAGAAGAAACTTTTGCAATGAAAGACCTCTGGGCAGATATTTTGAAGCATTATCTAAATAGTTTAACTTCAATGGTCATGAGGACATAAAAATGTCATGTAGACAATCCCCAGTTTAATCTTAAAAAATTACTAATATGCCCCAAATTAAGTCTTTAAAAAGCTTATCTTTAAATAGGTTTTTAAGAAACTTCCACCACCATCTTTTCTGTGGTTGAATCTCATTTCAAGATTTTTCAAGTAACACATCTCTCTGTTATAAAGTCTCTGATGAAAGCCACTGTCATGCTGCCTGAAGCCTCACCGTGTTCCATCCTGAGCACTACAATTGACATCTGCACCATTGTTCAGCAGCATCTGGACAATCTGAGTCCAGCCCCGGGAGGACGCCTCATGGAGAGCTGTGTAACCGGCATTATCACGCCGATTGACCTCCCGGATGTCCTTTTCGAGACAATACTGGACTACGTCCTGCAGAACACCGGAAGGAAAGATAAACTGTCAGATTATCATGCATTTTTTCCACTGATGTCAAAATTCCTGTTACCAGTAAACGTGTCGGGTTGTACCTGATAGCCCAAGCGCGCAGCACGTTGCAGCAACGTCTCCCCTGCATTTTTATTGACAATCAGCCGGCGAACCTCTGGAGGAACGGGCCTTTTGGTCGGAGAATCTGGACCGCTGCTTCTTCCTGACGAGCTTTTCTTTTTAGATGGAGAGGACGGCAAACTTTTTGGAGCTGGTGATGGGCTAACTGGTACTTTTGCATCAGCTCCATCATCATCCAAGGTGAGGGAGGCGCTACTCTTGCCCAAACTGCAGCGTTTGGTCTTATTCTAAAACACAGATTTACTGATTAGAGAACTTCCAGCTGCCATCACAAACGTGAGAAACGTAGATTTCAATCAGGCCACAGGGGGGCACTGTAAGCTTGTATATCCATTGTACCTTGTTTCTATCAACTATGCATGATCTGTGATGGGCTATCCTCCCACAAGCAGCATCGGCAGCTTACCTTCGGCTCATCACTGTCACATAGGTGTTTGCTTTTGCACTTCCTCTTCCCTGAAGGCTTATCATTGCACTCTGGAGATTCTTCACTCTCCTGGTAGCGAACCGATCCTGAGCGAGTGACTGACGGTCTCTTGGGAAGAGGCTCTGGACTGGGGGCAGCGGGACTCGGACAATGTTCCACCTGTGGAACTGTAATGGCAAATTAGACCTGCCGTTATACTGAGTGGTAGACAGGAGATACACCAACAATCCTAATCTTTACACGCCACTCATTTATCAACACTGCACTGATGCAGCTTTGTGCTCATCCCCATCTGCCAAGCCTAACATGGAGAATGGAATAATTTAGGTGCTGATATCAGACTGTCTGGTACTTCCGGAAGCTTAGCCATCTTATCCACGTAAACAAGAAAACTGCTGTTTGCCAGCTACTCTACCCTGATTTTACAATCTTATGCTCAAATCTGCCATGTCCTAGCTTTTTCTCTACATATACACTCACGATGCATGTCATTTCCACACTAACAGATAGATGATGTGGATCTTCTGAGAGAAATATATAGATATAGACAGACAGACCCCAAGCTGGTCTCTGTATTATTGTGAGGTTTTACCTTACAATATAATATAAAACACCTTGATTTGGTGCTATAGATAAAACTGAATTTAATTGAATAGAACATATATTAAACATAGGAAAAATTTAAAATAATGACATCTGTAAATACATAAATAAATAATACCTGTGAGTCAAAATCTCAAGATTCAGACAGTTTTTTCTACTTTTTCCTCAGTGGGACAGAGCTGCTCGATGAAGTTCAACTTTTTAACCATAATTTATTTGTGTAATTTCTTCAGAAAAACCAAACCAAGGTGATTCCTAACAGCTGATGGTTTTGCTACTCACCAAAGCCTCTCTTTCCATCATCTTGCCTGGAGCTGAACTAAACATGCCACAGATTAATTGCACAGTCCTACTGTATCATGTCAGCGAGAGGGAATATCATTATTAACATCATCCTCCCAGGCGCTCAGCTCTAGCTGTGAGCACAGATTCTCACCCTCACCTGCCTGCTCTCTACATCTTTAGTTTTCGAGGGGCAGCCAATCAGAAGAAAGTTATTGCAAAGGTAGCGGAGCTAAAACATCTTATTACTGCGAAAAAACAGCCAGAGACGCAATGTGAGCGGGTCCCAAGCAAAACCTTTGTGAACCTAAGTACTGAAGTGACTACCTATCACAGGGTATTAAATACGTTAGACGGTTACCTTGGCAACCGTAGACTGGAATGTCTGCTAGCGACCAGCTGTCAGCGACAACGCAGTGCGCAACAAGCATGGACACAGCTTGAGTCTCCAAGCTAAGTGACAGTTTGGAGTCATTCATTCTTAAATTCATTAAACAGAAATTTCTTTCATGAACAATCTCAGAACTCAGGGAAAACCAGTATCGTCACCTGCGAGTAACTAAGTTATCTACGAATATGTGTATTTCATCTAACATTTACCTTAAATGCCATAACATCTGGAGGATTTTGGCTTTTTAAAGCTTTACTCAGCTCTATTTTGACCAAATAAATATTGAATTATAATGGAAGAAAAACATCAAAGCAACATGAATTGGTCATTTTTGTTACTTCTGTACTAAAACCAACCATCAGAAAAGATTAAAGTGAATACACAGCAAATTAGTTTTTTGTTGCTAAATTTATATGTATATGTATACCGGCTACTTCACAGAGTAGAACGGAGCTTCACATTATTGTCTGTACCGATTCATTCATCAGATTTATTTTTTTTTAAAGAATGAATAATCACTTAGTCTATGAAACGTCAGAAAAGATGACAAATACTCGTCACGAGCCAACAGAGCCAAATGTTTTGTCGCTTTTTATGGTCAGCAGCCAAAAAAGGATTAATGTATAATGGTATTAAAAGAGAATGATTCAGGCTTTTTTGTGAGGCTGTTTCTAACTAATGTTTGATGTGCTTGAAGGACTAAAAAAAAAGTAACAATAATTTTTATTTTCAATTACACTTCTGACTATTTTCACTGATGTTTTTGAAAAATAAATGAATTAAAACAATTAATAATCTAAATAGCTGAAAATAATTTTTTAGCAATTAAGTAGTCAGTTGATTAACTGATTAAATGCCTACTTACTACCGGTCATTTAGTGAGCTTTGGATTGCATAAAAATATTCAACAGCTGCTGTATTCAAATGTTGAACTTCATTGATTCTCAAGTCATTCTCTTTTAATACTGTAATATGTAAATCTTTTTTTTTTAACCTTCTGACCAGGATAACTTTTAACTGATCTCTACCTTCTGGGACTCCAGCGTCCTTTATCAGAGAGTTAGATTCTTCGAGGTGTTCTCCATCTTCCAGCTTGTCTTTCTCTGTGATGTAGTCCCCAGTCTGATACTTCTTATTACGACATCGCCGACGTTTCTTACGAGATGGCGTATCGCCCTCAGCGCCAGATGTTTTTCCCTTGCCCTGTGGCGTACGTTCCGGCAGAGGATTTGATCGAGGCCTCCCTCTCGGACGGCGAACAGGTTGGGGCAGAGTCAGAGAGGGCGAAGGGGATACTGGGGGAGGAGGCATTGGCGGGGGTGGAGGGGAGGGCGTCGCAAAGCCCCAGAGGTCAAGTCGAGCGTCATCAACTCGCCGCCGCCTTCGCCTCAGTCTTGGGAAGGAGCACTCTGTGGCTTCGGCCTCCTTGGTGGATACGGCGGGACTAATGAGAGACGCTGAAGTCTCCAAAGTCTGAGGACTGCTATCTGGAACTGATTAAATCACATCTGATTGGTACATCCACACCAGACTCTATGCTGAGAGTAAGACTGAGACACTGACTGCAGGTTACTTAGCTCTAAAACTGAAACTGAACCCAGAGTAATCAAACCATATACTACAACAAAACTTTTTTTTAACTAAATAAAAGTATCATTAAATTTACATTTTTGTAAAAAATGTAAAAGCTATAGGATTAAGGAAGAAACAAAGACTCTACCTGATTTGTTGCAGGTTTGCTGCTCGGCCTTGCTGGGACTGATCTTTTCCCTTGGAATCGCCTCTTTAGTTGGAGGGGAAGGTTTTCCCGCTGACAGACTCTGCTCCAGCACAGGTGCACATTGTTTCTTCTGCAGAAATACACAGGGGACAGAGTGAGCACGCTCTATTGGAGGTTATTGATCATGAGCCTCTCGTGGTGACAGAGAGCATGCAAGAGACTCACAATAAGCCCTCGAAAGTGAAACCATCAGTCATAACTTAATAATATGAAAGGGAGCTCTGAATAGCCTTTTCGCTCTTTAAACTCTTAAAAGACGATTGCTACCTTAAATATTTCTTCAGATTTAACCAAAGAGAAATAATGAGAGTAATAGGAATTAATAATTTACCTTCTTTTTAGGGGACACTTTGGTTGGAGTATTTTCTGTCTCTTGCTTTTTCCTTCTTGCAGCCTTCTGTAATGCATCTGTTGGAGATTTCTCTTTTGCTGGCTTCTTAGGACCGTTCTTCTTTTGTTTGACGGCAGCAGCTTTTGCTTTGGTTGGCGACTCCTCTTTGGTTCCGTTTGTTTTCTTCTCAAACTTGTCGCCTCCCCCTGCACACTGGCCTGTAAGAATAGATGCAGCCATGCCCTCCAATTTGTCACCAGGAGGACTGTCTGACGGCCCACTTTCTTTCCTCAATATCTCCCCCTCTAACACCTGGGCTAGTTTACTCTCCATCCTGTTCCCATTTGTTGATGCACTGCTCCCGTAGAGATGAGACTGGCCTGCGGGCTTTGAGGAGCCTTGCTTCACCTGAAGTCCCATGTGCTCTCCCTGACTGGTGTGCATGTCAGTGTTATTCTCCAAAAGCTCAGCGGCATTTGCCTTGTCATGTCTTTTCATAGCTTGAGTGAAATCCCCTTGAGATGGTGCACTAGGCCACTTTTCCACAGACCAGCATGGTGGGTATTCAAAAGTAGAGGTATGCTTAGATTGTATGTCTTGATTTCCCGCGAGTGGATTCAGACCATCAGCTTTTCGTGATGCAACAGGCGATGCTTGGGAATTACCTTCATCCGTCAGTGTTGTTGTATCAAGAGCTTGCTGCTTTACAATGGACGCAAGGTTAGACAGAGGAGACTTCATTCTCTCCCACTTATCATCCTCAGGTTTGGACGGGCTGTGATGGGCACTTGGAAACTTACAACTGTCTGTAACTGCGGTGCCCTTAGTCTTTGGAGATCCTTGTGTGATTTTTCGATGATTAGAAGAAGCTTGATGTGATGATGTGAGATGAGATGCCTGCTGCCAAGCTGGACTGACAAGGGGAGCAGAGTATGGTACCGCTGTTTTGCCAGGCCCACATTTCTGAGGAATTTGAGCATTGGTTGAGCTTAACAACGCAGTGGTTAGGGCTCCTTTTGAGGGACAGTTCTTAGTTATGGTTGTGCTGGTGTTTTTAACATGCTTGACACTGTGAGTGTGTTGGTTACCCTTCATCAGACAGGATGGCTTCTTTCCTCCTGAGGCCAGATGTTCTCCTTGGTCAATTATAGATATAAACTCCTGCTTTGCGAAACTCTGAAATTCATCCACAAACGTCCCTTTTCCATCTTTGCCCCTTAGAGTAGAAGCCAATATTGGACTAGCAACTCCCACATATGTACCAGGGATGTTTTTTATTGAATCTTGTGAAGATCCCTTACCCCAGGCTGGTTTGGCCTCTGGGATCTGGTGATTCTGAGACCTATTTAATTGCTTTTGATGAGATCCATTTCGGTGGGTGTTTGGTAAGATGGGGTATTGCAGAGCGGAGCCGTAATTTGCAGAATGAGTCTTCTTTGAATTCAGAAATTCTCTCTGATTTGACTCATTATTGTGGGATTCCATCATAGTAACAGGAGGGTCATTTAAGCATTTAGGGCGTTTTGATTTGGCGGACAAATCAAGAGGTACATCTCTTGATTCAACTGAGCAGACTGTGTGGTCGTCTGTTGCAGGAGGTGTGGTTTTTAGAGAGCCCATGGTTGTCTTATCTATGCTGTTGCTTTTCTCTACATGGTTCAGCATTCTGCTCTGTGAGGCGATGTTGGCCAGAGCAGAGCCACAGCAAATGGCAGCAGTCGGAGACAAGGTGTAGTGAGTGGGTGCAGCTGAAGTTAATGATGGGTGTTGCAATGGTAGGGCAATAGCTGGTGAGGCTACCACAGAAGCTAAAGATTTATGTTCTCCAACAGATTTAGCATTCTTACTTGATGTGTGGTTAGATCTGAGTTTTGAGGTCGACGTGCCCGTCTTTTTCTCTGCAGCCGGAGTCCGGGCCACAGACAACGGGTAGGGATAGGTCCGCATGAGAGGTGGCCCAGCAACACCTGAGCTTTGAGGCTGGCTTTCTTTCTGAAACTGAGTGGCTGGGGCTTCTCTCAATGCTGCAATCTGACCTAATGCTGGTGGAAGATTCATTTTACAAAGTGGAGAGGAAAAATTTGCTGTGGGAAGGAAGGCAACAGGCTGGGCTGGTTTAAACATGGCAGAGCACTGAAACCCAGGTGGGACACTTTGCACAGATTGTGTTTGTGAATGGGATTTCTTATTGGATGTCACATTGCTGTGACAGGGGCTGAGTGAATCCTCCTGGCTAACTTTTACACCACTCGACCACTGAGGAGTGGGGAAGACCCCAGAACCATCAGCTTTGAGCTTAGAGGTTTCTGCTCTTTTGTCTGTTCTCTTTTCTGAGCTGGTGAGGACCAAGCCGGACATTGGTGCATTGTTGGGCAGTTGCGGCGGAGAAAGTTCGGGGCTGTGGTTGTAGTTGTCCGGGCAGGCTTTTACAGTCTTACAGTCTTTTGTTGGAGTTGTCTTATTTTGCTGACTGAGAGTAACATCTCCTCTGAACTCAGGGGGGAGCGTCTGGGGGGGATTTCCCACCATGCTAGCAGACGCTTTATTTGGAGCACTGATCTCTCTGCTCACCGTGCCTCCATCCCCTACATTCATTAGTGTGGGATCCACCTGAGTAATAAGAAAAGTTCATGAGGCCGGTGTTAATTAGATAAGAGGACAGGATGCGCTATTCAAGCAATACAACTTCAGCAGAAAAAAAAGCCAATTACCTGCATAGGTGTTTCTTTAGCACAACATGCCTTAGGGGGTATCTGCGTCAGTCAGGTGAGAGTTCTCCTTCAAATACAGTGATATGCTGCAAAACACACAAGAGAAAAAAACATAAAACCACTTGCTGTGATTACTTTAGCACCGTTCTCCTTTCAGCTACAGAAAATATCTGTTCGACTAAACCTTCGAGAAGAAATAAGTAACTAACTTTGGGCAACTGAAAACTTCCTTTCTTTAAGATATGCTTGGAGTTCAGCTGTGTTACAATTTCCTAAGAACAAGGAGACAATCTAGAGCAGCAGAGAGAAGTGTGGTAAACTGATGGCACGTATTCGTTGTGTTATTCCCTTTGATTTTATTTTGTTGCACATAGGGGATGTGGAAAGCTGCCAGTGCTCATCCATTTGAAATGTGAACTCTCTTCACTAAAAGAACATTGTACATTCACTGCGTAAAATGAGATCTAATGCATTAATTGAAGCATAGAAGGATTAGGATCCAATGAACCCTTGGCAGAGACACGTAAGAAACTACCACAAATGATGTCTTGATGCATTCTCGATCATCCAGGAAAGTAAATCTCCAAAAGTTGATTCTGTTCATCTGGACGTAGCGTTTTGTGGGAGAAACGTTTCGTCACTCATCCAAGTGACGTCAAAATCAAATTCTCATGACCATTGATCAACAACCACTGACCAAAACCCACTGATCAAAGACCAGAGAGTTGGGGAATGGCTGGGCCAGGACTCTGCAGTCTATTTACACCTACAGGCCAGTGGACACTCTTTCAATGATGAGGATGTTCACATCCTGGACAGGGAGGAACGCTGGTTTGAGCGCGGAATCAAGGAGGCCATTTACGTGAAAAGGGAAAGACCATCTCTGAATTGAGGAGGGGGCCTGAGGGTACATCTGTCACCATCTTACAATGCTGTGATTGCAGCCATTCCCCAACTCTCGGTGAATGGTACTCATGGCCATTGATCAGTGGTCTTTGATCAGTGGGTTTTGGTCATTGGTTGTTGATCAATGGTCATGAGAATTTGCATAATTATGATTGGGCTGGTTTCAGTCATTGTGCAAATGTCCTGTTTATAAGGTTGGGGAAACCTGCAGTCAGCTGAGACTGAAGAAGTCACTTGGATGAGTGACGAAACGTTTCTCCCACTGAAAACGCTACGTCCAGATGAACAGAATCAACTTTTGGAGGAGTACCACAAATGATCATCTCTTTCATGTTCCATTTCATTTCTGCAAGTTAACCTTAAATATGATGTACTCCTGAAACTTTTTATGTTGGAAATTAAAGGAGATGGTTTTAATCCTTCTGACAACCTCCCTGCCACAGAGTCCATATCATACAAAATATCACATCATACAAAAAAGAAAATTATGAGAAACCATCAAAGTTTTTTTGAGCCAAAAAGTTGAATCGTGTTCAAATAATTATTACTGTCTTCAGTAATAAAAATGGGCATAACAATTTCTACGTCTACATGTTCACTGGAGGTTCTCGCTCAAGCTTGTGACTTTACAAAATCGTCCTGGTTGAACACAGAGGAGGTTTCCCCTTCAGCAGGTGTACACAATAGGAACAATAATACCGAGCCACATCTCTCAGGTGTTTTCAGTCTCATTGCCACAAAACCAAGCACCTAGCCATGCAAACTGCCTTTACAAACATTTGTCAAAAAATAGGTTGTTCTAAAGAGTTCAATTAATTTGAGAGTGGTACTGTAATAGGATGCCATCACTGCAACAAATGTGAAATTTCTTCCCTCCTAGACAATTCACAATCAACTGTAAGTGGTATTATTGCAAAGTGCAACTCGGCCACCATGTACAACTACACTATGCAATATGTCATCAACGCTCTACTCACTCAGTAACTGCAGAGCTCAAAACCTCCTTATTTGACATTAACATCAGCACAAAAACTGTGCCAGAAGCTTCATTAATAAGCAAAAATATCTATTACACTTGAGAACATCAAGGGGCAATTAGCAAAAAAAGCGAAAATTATGTAGGATAACATGTGCTAACTTTAATGCAGCCTAGGCATACATGCGCATTAGGGGAAAATGTGCAAAAAATAAATATCAATGCTAGATTAGACCTGGAATCAGCAAAATCTCAATATTACAAGATTGGGATAAAAAAAAAAACATGAATGGGATACCCCTAGTTTTTACTGCAGGAGCCCAGTGAGAAATGCTTTTAACAGTCACTTCAAATAGAGGCTCTTCCTAAGGCGACCCAGGGCCTGTCCCCAGCAGGCTCATTCAGTAATCCATGAGGCAATCAGCTGTTACTGCTCAAATGATCTTTTGTTAGAGCCGACATCAGTGTGTGTGTTTTGTGTTGATTAAGTCATGCACACCCGCGACTGACAAGAAACGAGCAAAGGTTTTTGCATGTGCGCATATAGTTAATGATTATGCATAACTGGACCAGTTACTGGCATGCAGCCTTAAATGCTCATCAGCCAGATTTAATGACCAGACAATCCCACTCACTGCTTTTCTATTGAAAACTCGCACAAGACAAGTTAAAAAGCACTGATGGCCATACACACGATTAGGAATTATAATTAAAGCGTGAATCAACTTCATATCATATAAGTACACAGCTTACACTGGGGACACACGCTGGAACTGACCCTAGTATTTACTGTAGATAGAGGTGAGCGCAGACGAGCGCATCTGCAAGCAAATGAGACGACTACAAAAGGGACTGTGCAACAAGAAAATCTGTGCCAAAGCTTTGGGGGAAATGGAAATGCTTCACCCTTGAATCAGTGAAACATAACGAAGATGATGCACATAATGACTGACAAGCCAATCTCTGCTGGAATCTGCGAGCACGACTGAAAAAAGGGAAATCCAGCGATGCAGATGCCGCTGTGTGCAGCGACGGTCTGCATACATTACCGTACAACAGTTGCTTACAGCTACTTTGTCTTTGTGCTGCGATCGCGGTCGACTCCGCCACTAAACATTTGAATTCATCCGCTCTGATGTAGGCCAGTAAATATATGCAGCAGTCCGCGCATACGCACACAGACAGCCTCACACACACACCGTGGACAACACAAAGTCGAGCCTGGGAGAAAAGAGAGAAAGAAAGAAAAAGCCTTTGAGGAAAAACAGCCGCGAAGAAGCCAAATTGTTCCGATGTAGCCTACTTCCACCCGGTCAGCTCGCTGCCCAGCCCACGTACACGGCACAAAAGACACACGTTCCCAATGTCACATCTGAAAAGTGCACAATAACAACACATGCCCACTGAAGCGTTAGGGCACCCCGAAAACAACACGTTTACCTCTGCTTTAATTATCAGCAAGAAAAAACTCTGGAGAGCTCCGGGTCGCTCCCTCCTCTCTCTCTCGCTGGAGATGGCGAGCAGTCACCATAATGAGAGAATGGCAACTGGCTCTCAGGTGATCGGTCCATCCGCACACAAACACGGGCGCAAACTGAGCAGACAGGCTGTCTGCGTCTCTGAACCTCGTCTAAATAACCCGGAGAGGATGGGATGGAAAGGTCCAGAGATGAAAGACAGATGTTTGAGGAAAATATAGCAAAGTGACACGAGAGATTCCGCTCCTGTCTAGTGGCTGCCTGGGCTACGACGTAGGAGCACACAATGTGTCACATCTCCCCCTGATAAGGTAAGTGAACATCAATGCGAAGACGCGGGGACAACAACGGGAGAGCCAAACAAACTAAACTCCTGGCCCGCTTCATCAGCCTACAAAGTAACCCTGCCGGTAGACGTTTTTACAAACAAATAATCCGTTTCTGCCGCTGATAGCACAGAAAACTGGAGGCGCAGACTTACTGGCAGATAAGTGTGTGGGGGGGGGAAGAAAAGTAACCAGCAGGAAAACGACCATAGGGGTGGGTGGCACAACTTATTGTGCGGCTGGAGTGGCCATGAAAAGGGGGCAAACAATATATTTAACTCCGCTGACCACCACTACCACCACCACCTCCAGCAACGTTAGGTTTCCAGCTTCCCTGCGCAGCGGATTCTCCGCGAAGCCCTCGCAGCTCTCCCGGCGGTTTGCATGTTGAGGCAAGCTACTGTTATTTATCCCCGACCTAATGCGAAGTGCTCCCGTCCCTCTTATCGGCCCTTTGACGGACCGACTGAGCCACTTCGGCGTGGAAAGGCATTCATCAGAGCCCCCGACCCACCGAGCCTGTCCTCTGCTCTCCTCTCCGGCCCCTTTCGGGCTCTCTCTTTCTACGCAAAATACTGAATAGTCCCCAAGACAATCAGCTGTAGGGATAAAAAGATTTCTAATGACACAAACAGTTACGAACCTGCTCGTCCAGATGGCATGTGAACCACCGTGCAGGCACGACTGTGATACGGCCGTGTCCAGCCTTTCGCCTCTACAGTCCGCGGCTGCTCACTGATCTCGACGGTTTTCGGTCCTAAAAGTCCGAGGGGCTGGGGGAGGGAGGAGGGGAGGGTAGGAGAGGGGGGGTCGCCAAGACGGTCCGTTCCGTATCTCCAGTCTCCAGTCTGGTGTGAGAGAGAGCGAGAGAGGGGGTGGGGGGGAGCAGAAGGGTGCACGGTGACAGCATGGGAGATGTAGTGCTCGGCTATCCACGCCCAGGATTAAACGCTGGAGAGGCAGGGAGCGGTGAGGACTGCAGGTACCGGCATGCAACGCGAGCTCCAGCCGCTCAAGGGGAATGGGGGGGATCGCGACCAAAAGAGTGTAACGGTGCGCTAAACTGAAAAGGCTTATCGGGGTAACGAAGTAATAAACCTCGTTTAAAAAACAAAAACATTTTATTCAAACCCACAACAACAACAAATTTAGCCCCGAGTATCGCTGGATGTCCGTGCGCGCCTGGGTGTCAGCCGGGTCAATTAACAGTCAGCTGTGGGTGATGGTTTCTAAACGGCCACAATATGAATTAAAAAAAAAGAGTGGGAGAGGTTTGGGTCCGTTGCAGGGGAATTAACGCGAGGAAGAAAGACTCCGGGGTGTTGGAGGCTCTCCAGTTACATGCTGTAGGCTGCAGACTGGCGGACTATAGCTGGGAGAAGATGTGGAGGGGAAAGCTTTACTTTTTTTTTTACTGGATTCTTTTGAAATAGATACGGATGAAACCTATGATCCTCACATACATTTTTTCGTTATTTGTGACGATACCATGCATCCAACCTTACCAGTGAATGAGATTAAGCTTCCAGCACTGACCTCTGTCAGCTCAGCTCAAACCCAACTTTTTCTTGCAAGCTCTTTTGGAAATTTTACACCTGTGTTTTCATCGTGTTTAATCGAACTGATTTTAAACTATCTGCATAACTATTTTCACATTCCTTTACAAACCAAAAGTGGTGCTATTAAAGTGCTGAGTTAGGATTATTCACATCAACAATTTGCTCGCAGATGCTTGCTCTCTTTCATAGAAAACACCAAGAACACAACTCATCATTCTTCTTTGCAAATTTACTTCCTTTTTGCCATGCACAGTCACCACATGTATTATGCTGAAAACATCCCAACTGAAGCATATGATTTTTATTATTATTAATATTTTATGTGACACTTGGAATGAGCCAGTCCAGGCCTCATGCTGTGAAGCAATTCTATAAACACGGCCGCTAATAAACATTTATAATGAATATATGAACAAACAGAGTGCCATTCCCTCAGCGGTGCCTCTTCAGTTCCCTGTCATTCACCTCTTGCAGTGCTGTGTGTCAAAATCACATTTCCTGTTACTATCAGGTCAGCTCAGGTTTTAACTGGATAGAGAGAAGTGGTTTTAAGACAAGTTCAAGGCATAACTACAATATGGATGAGGCTTGGGTTTTGAATGTTAATGTTAGCCCTCAGATTTCTTCTCTGTATAAAAATCCAGACAGCTGACCCAATGCACAAGGACAAGAGCCTACAACCTACTGACAACAATCCAAACATGCTTAATATAGAAGCCACACTGTGTTTAACACAACTGAAGAGGGTCAGGATACAAAACAAGACACGTTATTGCAAAGGTAATATCATCTACAACCTTCTCTAGAAGGTCGTGTGCCTCATTTGTAATAGAACAAAATCCCCATTCGTTTACAACCATTTGTAGCCTGTTGTGAATTGGAACAAGTTCACACTGAAACATGAGCAGCCTCCTCCTTCTCTGACTGCAGGGAGCTGGATATCTGTCGACCACCAGCTCATGTGTGCAGTTATGAAGTGAATGACAACACATCTGCAGCTTCCATTCAAACAAAGGCAAACAAACAAACAAACAAACAAAAAAAATCTTAAAGTTTCAACCCAGCCTGTGGAGCAGGAGGTTTACACTTGGTCCTGCCCGATTCTCTCCCCTCAAAAGATAAACAACCACAGGATATTTAGCCCTCTCACTCCATAATCACATTTTGGCTCAGTAGTTAAGCGGTACAGGTTACCCTGCTGTAATTAGGCCACTTGTCTTACCTGAATCCTGAAAGCAGCGCAGGCCTGCTGTTTACAAGGGTATCCGCTCCTTTAGGCCAACAAATTTCCTACTTTTCTCAATACTTGCGATGGTGAGGAAATAACCGTGCACGCATACACACGGGGGGGACCCTGACATCGTCGCGCCACTGAAAAAGAGTTTGTTTACTACCATGCACGATCTGTGTCGGATCCTGACCAGCACGGCGGTGCAGGACAAACGATCGCGTCCATCCGCCGAGAGCACCGCGAGCAGAAACTACTTCGCTGCTGCTCTCCTATCGCGGAGTGGATCGGTGTGTGAGAGCCTCTAACATGCCCTTCGCCATTCGCTCAGTAATGGCTGCGTGCAGGCAGCCAAATCGTTGACAGATGGCCAAACGTGAAATTGGGAAACAAAAAAACGTCGATCAGTAAAAAAAGAAAGAAGGAAAAACGGAGGAAGAACGCCGAAGAGGACCGAGCATAAAGCACGAGTATCACAAAGTCGCCTGCTGACACATCGCATTGTGTCTGAGTCGGGGTAACCCGGAGACCTCAACGACCGCGCAAGAGCTATCCCGGTAGTGGCCGGCCGCTCGGCGCTTCACCAATTATAGACGAGTTTGGTTCACGGGCTGCACATCGGACATCTGAGGGCTTCAAAAAAAAACTTGTTATACGTGCATTTGTAAATCAGTCGAGCAGGGATGTAGCAGTCCGCACATGCACTATGACAACTGCGATATAGATGAAGGCACGTTGTTTATATCGAAGGCCCGATCTCTTTTTATGAAAGAATACACCGTCTTCAAAGTGGGCATTCACAGTCATCTATCTGTGAGTCATATTGGAGATTATCGACCCTACCTATTTAGGCCGCCATGCTCTCCAGCAGCGACGAGGATGTCCCGTCTGAGTTGGTGGTTCACCTGGTCAGTGTTGAATGTCGAGGCTGGGAGGATGGAAGAATAACGCGCTTGAGTGAAAATCAAGCGCATTATTCTTCCATCTTGGTCTAAGTAATGAATTATTCCACAGCGAACGAAAGGAGGAAGGCAGCCGATCACAGAAACAGTCAGGGGTGATGTTCTTATTTTCCAGGTTAATGGATGGCCCGATGCGCCGTCCACATCGCCTTTTAAATCTGCCTGAAATTAAAACATATCTCTTTGCCTTCAGTTACCGTGTCCGCGTTTGGGTAACCGACTGCATCCACTGCCGGCACGCTTGGACTGCACACTCAGATGTCATCTCGACACACAAGTTGGCTTGTCCATAGGCTACATGTGACACGATCCTACATAATGCCGTGGGATAACAGCGAAACATCTCCGCAACTACAGGCTCCGGTAGCGGCTCCCGCAAGACAGCGACAACTAGAAAATGCAGATATCCAGGTCAAAGTTTGGCAGAGTTTTGCTCGCCCTCAATAGCATTGTGCAATGCCCCCTTTAATGCCCCCTGCTCGCCCGTAACGCCTTTGTTATTAGTAATCGCATGGTATTGCACCGTCTTACCTTGCGCTCCGAGCCGTCTACAGCCACAAAGCCTTCACACACAGCGCAACAAGCTATTGTTGTCTCCGCGGTGGCTTCGCTGCGGGTCCGGGGATGTGATTTTGAAGTAGAATGAATACAGTATGTAATTTTGGCTTGTCCTCGCGATCTTCCCTTATTGCCAGTTTTCGGTCTGCAGCAGCTGGAGATGAAAATCGCGCACCCTGGGTCCTAGCGCCGGGTAAAGCCCTACAGGTGAATAACAAACACGCTGGGTGCTCGGTGGGCTTGAATCTTTAAATGAACGATCCTCGGCGAGTCAGACATACAGTCCTTATAAAGCAGCTTCTCACAGCAGATTTAGATGTTCTGCTTAGAGGTCACTTAAAAAAAGAAAAGAAAAAGGTGTGATCTAAATTTTGATTAAGCGTGTCTTCAAGTCCAATTAAGCTGCCCACGCATTACTTTAACATTCTAATGATGGTTTAGCGTCAGACCCGTGCAGCCCAATTAATCACGGCACGCTGCAGTCTCCTACGAGGCCATCCAGCTCACTGCAGATGTGCAAAAAGAAGTAAAAAGCCAAAAATCAAAGTGACCAGTTTTCACTGTAAAGGTTCATTCATTGTTTGTTAAAACGTAGCCACTTACATGAAGTGTAAATACAAATGTCACAGGACTGTGACACACATTTTCTTTGCCACTGCTGCACAGTTTACCCAATAAGTTTTTACATGTTTAGCAGTGGAGACAAAATGGTTAGAAACTACCTTTACTGGTGGGCTTTATATTTGCTGATATTAGCTCACAGCAGATATACCGCAACTGCAATTTCAGATGCTAAATACCGAATACTGTTTATGTCGTGTCACTGTTTCATGGTCTGTCCATCATTTAAAACATCCTATACTGCTCAGGCTGTAGCTTTACCATTCTGTGTGGTGCTGTAAAATAAAGGTATTGAGTAATACCTTTTCTAGAGCGGGTGTTAATATGAATCTGCTAAGGCAGGAAGCTTTGGACATGAGTTAGACAGCCTATATATATTTCCTGTGTGAATGAAATATCGTAGTTCAGATGCAGTCTCTAAACAACAGCACTTGAGGGCAGTGAGTGTTATGATGAATCTGCAAACTGATACAGCATAATACTAAAAAGGTTAAGGGCATACCATATTATTCTAACTGTAACTGTTTAACTCCACACTGGGTGGCATTTGTTGCATGCCACACCTCCCTCTCTCTGCCAGTTCACCGTCTCTGGATTGTGAACAGATGAAGTAACAAAACCAAAAAAAAAAGAACCAAAATATGCACAAGCAAGATGGAGGGCCTGTGTCCTAAATGTCACCCACACAGGCTAATAAAGAGTCTGACATCATCTGTAGATGTGACGGCCAAAGGTTTTGCTTTACAAACCAAACCTGTGGATAAATATATTGTTGAGTTACTACTGACTCACTTTAAAAGTCTTGAAAGAAGCTCACAGAGGCTAATTAAAAACAGAAATAGCTTGTTCTCTTGGCAACATGACAGACAAGACAGAATAAATATTACAACAGCACAAATATAGATGTTAGAAAAATAAAGTTTAAAAAGCAAGTGATTGAGATTCACATAACACAATGTCTATTTTATTTCAGTTAACAAATTCATTTTAGTTAAATTCATTTAAAGCATTTTACTGCATTGCTATGCCTGGACCTCTCAAAGGGCCAGAAAGGTCGGGACATCCAGACAACTTAGTAGAGGCTGTAAAAGTAGCTTAAGTCAGTGAACAAATCATCACTGCTGTTAAAGTACCACATTTTCCAGGATACAAACCTTCAACGGATCAAAACTTAACCAGTAGGTAAAGCGCTAAAAGCGAACACAAGCGAAAATGGATGGATTGAATGCGTGTTAGTGGAAGTTTATGATATAGGGCCCGTGGTCTATTTGCCAAATGAGGCTTGTCTGCAGATTTAGGAAGGAGACATACTTCTTTTTCTTGAAGAGAGGAACTGGGGAGCAGTACCTGACATCTTTCATAAAGGATCTGACCGAGCAAAACTGTCAGCGATGCTATAAAAGCCTCATCAGACAACTGCTACACACACTGCACAGTAGGACAGCTGTCTGTGCCAGTAATGGCCACTGCTTCCACTGAATGCATGTTCACACAATTATCTATTTAGGGGACTGACTGCAGGCTAACCTGAGCTGGTTATTTTTTAGACACCATCATATCGGTTAAATTGTAAGCCCAAATACAAAATGACATACATGCTTACTGCACATGAAAGCTTTAGGATTTCACAGTTTAGATTTTATCTGCCCAGATTTTGAGATATCTGACTGATAATGGACAGTCTGGATGATCTAAAGACCTTGCTGTGAGCAGTTGTCACTGAAAATACACAACTTCACACTGATGGACAGAGTCTATGGAAACTGCTGACAGTGACATCTAAGAATTATCCAGAGTAAGTGGGACACTGCAGCTGATTTTTTAAAAGCACATTTTATATTAATATGCATCATTTTGGGATGGGGGACCTAAAACTTAACAAGAAACACTAGCACAACATCCGCAACCCACAACACTAGGGCTAAATGAAATGTTTTTGAGCAATTCTGACAACCCGACACTTTATGCCAGATGTTCGTGTGGCATGTAATCAATTTAAGGTGTTTCATGGGGAGAAAAGACAAATAGACAGACAAGAACATAAAAGGAAGATGATTCAGAATGAGAAAACCGTAGATGTCGCTTATAGATATGGCACAAACCTTCGACTGAGACATAGACGGCTCTGCAGGTCACACTCTCCAGGGCTCCCGGTCTACAGTCACTGGAATCATGCGTAAGTCCGAGAAGATGACCATCAAAATGGCCACAGGCATCTAGCAGCAAATGACATTGCTTGTAAAACTGGGAACACGCTGCAGAGATTAAAGTCCAACTGAAACAGCAATTTAGTTCCAGTGACTGATTTTCAAGATGGTACAACATCTGCATTGGTCTGCACCAAATCAGGCCGTCTACTCTTGATGGCGGGTACACATTATTGTGTAGAAGAAGATTAGGAGTAAATTCTTTCACCCACTTGAAGCTTACATTTTTCTAATCAGTTATGATTGACTCAAAGCATCACAAACCTTTTATACAAGACAGCTGTCACTCTGTTAACAGACCGGTCTGCAGCGTAGCACTACACGCTTCGCTATAAATCACACAAGTGCACTGCATCAAATAATTATCAGTTTCAGTTTCACCTCTATGTGTCCACATTCTCTCTGTTTATCACAAGTGCATTTGTGATTTCAGTTTTTTATGGCCAGCCTCTTTCTGTTGTTAGAACACATCATCATAAAGGAAGAGCTTCATCCACACATCCATGCATTCTCCTAACTATTTATCCAATTCAGGGTCACTGGGAAGCTGTAGCCTATACCAGCTGTCACTGGGAGAGAGGTGAGGTATACCAAGGTCACATCCCCAGTCTATCATAGGGCTAACATAGAGACAGATAATCATTCATGCTCACATTCCGACCTACAATAATCACCAAGTATGTGCACTTTGTGAGGAAGCCGGAGTCCATAACAGAACCCACACAGATAGAAGATACTCTCCCCAGAAAGGAAGGCTCTATATAGCTGCCAGATTCAAACCTAGGACCTTGTTGCTGTAAGGGGGGGAGAGAGAATGGGAGAGAGAATAGTTTCATTGCCATGCTGTCTTCAATACAAATATATCCAAAATGCATTGTTTTCAGTCCTGTGTTAAAGGCATGCTTTGGAATATTTGACCACAAGTGACACTACGGAGCAATATGCTGATAAATGTAAGATACGTACAAGACGCCCTGTGGAGATTTCTTGTAAACAAACAAAATATATATTTTTTTACATTTAACATTAACACTAAGCCAATTTTAAAGCATTTCAAATCGAGCACTGTTTTGATCCATATCTGCTCACTGGCAAACATATTCCAATCTCTTGTTTATTTCAGGACTCAGATTGCTCTCTCGCTTTGTACTAAGGCCCCTGGTTTGAACCTTATGGTCGGCTGCGGCCTTTGTGTGTGAAGTTTGCATGCTTTTCCCGTGGCAATGTGGGTTTCCCCTGGGTATTCTGGTTTCCACTCACTGTGAAAGTGTTTTTACCTGTCTCTGATCTAGCCCAAAGTCAGATAGGATAAGGTCCAGCCAGTCATCCTTGTCCTAAGTGCTTGAGAAAAAAGCTACTGGCCTTCTTTTTATAACGTTCATGAAGACATTCTGATCTGAAAGGCTTCTTTAGTTCTAAAAGGTGATATGAGTCCCAGGTATTTAACCTTAACTGAAGTTGTCACCTTGGAGGTGATACTGACCCACCCAGTCATCCAGTGAGTCTTTAGGGTGACATGAGCCAAGGTGTGACTTCTCTGTGAGACAGTGCCACAACCTGCCATTGTGTGAGTCATTAAGGTCACATGGGTCAAGGTGTGAATGAGGGTTGAATTGCCTCGGAAGGGATCGTAAGACTGCATTATAAAAGGGCTGATAGTTTGTGGCATCGGTCAGTTTCAGACGTATGCAGATCAGATCGTCCCCCCCTTTACCTCTCACTCCCGCCGTTTGTCTTCTCTGCCCAAAATTTGAACATTTGTATCCTGAAAGGAGCGTCCCTAACAGGAGTTTCCTTAGCAGAGAGTACTGATGATTTAAACCTTCTCTCACTGTGATCACATTACTTGTAAATATAAATCTAAAATTACAACACAGACCTTACTTTTAACTTCTGTGTATCTTAATTTATTTATTTATTTTTAGAAGATTTTGCTGGTGCAACTCTCGGCAATAATGAAATTTTTTTTTTAAACTTGCAGATTATTACAAGTCCAAGAAATGGCATTTGGAACTGCCTAGCATCAATAGTGGACATGTAAGTACATGCAGATATGTCCTCATTTGACAAAAAACTTGGTCCCAAACCTTGATCCTGTTTCATTCCACGCACTATTAAGGTGATTGACAGCTGGTGAAGTTAAAATTCAAGCCAAAAAAGAAGCAATTTTAAATAATCTTTACAAATGTGCTACAAAGGAAACAATGCTTTCAGTATCTCTGTTTGACACCAGAAACACAAAATGTCCTTTAAAATGAACATAGCTCTAAGATAATTCAATCTGATCTATAAATGGAAATTAATATAAGACTTAATTTCAAAATTGTACATAGGTGAGATAAGCCAATTCCTATATACAGAGTACATAGGAAATGGCTTAGCTGACCTTTTGCCCAGCATTTTAAACATCTGTAACTGCTTAAGTAGAGGACATATCCACATAAAATTTTCAGGGATGACTAACACATTTGACCTCGGTTAAAAACTGAAACCAAATCTGTTTGACAACAATTTTGTCCTATGAATAACTATGAGCATCGATTCCACTAGATACATTATAGCTTCAATAACAAAACTGCATCAATTGAATGTTCATGGTCCAGAGTAACAGAGCCCAGCAATGGTGCCCTGGATGTTCTATCACTTGAGAAAACTTTGAAAAGTGCATCATATAATGTGGGATAAATAGCTATAACAACTCACAGCATTTTTTAACAGTCATGAATTTGGAGCCTCTGGTGTACTTCTAGGGTCTTTGACTCAGAAAGTATGCAGATTATGAAGGTAAAAATTTGGATTAATTCAGTAAATTAAATCATTCCGAAGCACGGTACTGTGAAAGAATGTTTGTGGGGTCTAAACACTGAGTAAAGCTGTTTTAATGCATCCATTTAACTGGCTGATGAACTTTAGCATCGCTATTGCCCCAGTTAGAGTCAACACACTTTCTGGATTCCTCCATCAGCTGATGAGGAGGTCGTCCAAATGAGTGAAGATGTAGTGAATGGCTACGGATAGTTAATGGATCCTCACCACCTTCTGCAGCACTTGTTGGACACGCAGCTGAACACTTTCTCTGTTGCACTCTGCTGCCACAAGGACACGCACAAAAAGTCTTCACCAAATCATCAGATTTAAGGCACTTATTATATTATATTTACATTTATTGAGCTCTTAACTTATTGTTTTTTCTATTTAAAACTTTTCAAGCTATTTTCTTTTGTGATACTGTACACATGTTACTGAGCTAAGTTGCTTTTCATGTTTTAACAGTGATTTCTCATTTGGGGGATAAAGTTGTTTTTTTAAAATCTTACATACATACTTTAAAAAAAAACCTGCTCATTGTAAAGAGGTCAGGTAGGAAATTGTGTAGAAAATTAATATTTATAAGACTGAAATTGTTTGAAAATGACTATTTAAAAACTGTTAAATAGTCTAGGCTACAAGGTGTTTAGATGAATAACTCTATTTACTTTACAAGAGAGTTTAAACATAAAAAAAACAATTTTTATTAAAAAGTTCTTTTATGAAAGGTAATTCTGCTATCTTATTTGAGTTTTGTGTCATACTTTAAGTTTCTATCAGACAAAGATAATACACTGGGTTTCAGGGAACTGAGCAGAAAATGTAAGCAATTTAAGCTTTTCAGTGTTTTTAACAAAATAATTTAAAATATCTCCTTAGCAATTTAACTTTTAACTTCCAAGTTTACTTTGTGATACTGTATGGCCTGTCTAGCGTCATACACAGATACCATTTGGTCAAATGAAGTCTGTGGCACAGATCTAGCATGTCTTGCATTTTGATCCTGCCCACATATGAATCTATATGATTAATTCTGGCCTGCTGTGTTGGATCAGTGAGAATACAAGTTCTGGCTGGCTCTCAAGGTGTGCTATTGTACCCCACATGATAAACAGACGCAGCTGTCATCCCCACGTTGTTCAGCCAGCCTGACTCCCCTTCCCTCATTGGCACCGAAGAAAGCTGGAGTCAAAACAGCTAAAAATGGAAGAATGAGATGCTGAGGCGATTTCAAGAGGCCAGCAAAAGGAAAACCTCTGGAACAAATAACTTATAGTGTGCATGATTGAAGATCAAGTCATTGCAAAGAACATAAATATGAATACATATTTCAGACCCCACAGGAGCATAAAAAAACAGGAGGGACCGGCCATTTGAACAGAAGCCTGATTGAGGAGCCTCACCAATCAGCAGCAAACACACTTATCACAATTTAGCAAGAGGATGAGAGCGCTTAGGAATTTATATTTGAACCCTCTGATGGGCACCTCTGGAGCTCTTGAGATGAATAATGCACAATAGATACAACAGATACAGATAAGCAGGACAGCGTTAAAAAAGCTAGACTGCTTCTGCTGGACATGTTTAAATACCCTCCTTGTTGCTGCTCTCTGCCTCGTTATTCTGCTCGTCTAAATGTCACATACAGCCATGTGTAATGATTAAACCTGCTAAGTAGTGTAAATATTACAGCATTAAATGTGTGTTTTTAACACATGGCCAAGGTAAATAATAACTTTCAGTGTGTCTGGCTATCAGTTAGTCTTTGATCTAACATCGTGCCTGCTTCCTCTTTTCACAATACACTGAAGTACAGTTACAGTGTTCAGCTATGTGGCAAAAGAGGTTTTCAGGACTGGAATCACATGTTTGAGCAACAAACACACTTGAGCCATGCTAGCCGGATAAGCCAAGAGTGCTTCCTAAGCTAGAAACGCTAATCCTGACTTGGTATGTTGTTAGTTCATGCAGTCGGAAGGCTGGACACACGGACAAATGGAGGCGACTCGCCCCGCTCGATTATTTCCAGCTCACAAGTAGCAGCTCGGTGCTAGCTACCATAACGTGTGATCGGTCAAACAAGCAAAAAGAAAAGGGGGGCTCCACTGGCGCTGGAACTAAAAACAGCAGCAGCTAGGTTAGATTAGGACGTAGTTAGGTTAGTATCCGAGCGAGATGACTTACTGGGAGACACTGACACTCATCGTCACTTTGTCTAAAAAGCAGCGAAGCACAGGGAACCGCTTGAAAGAGCAGCGAATACCAGCGGACTCTCGAAGCGGCTTTCCTTCATCATATTGGAAAAACAAGCAATTATTAGCCACGTTAGATGTATCGCGTATTCTTTATTATGTTACACTTCGGAAAGGACAATCAGCTGGTTCCATAGTGTAGCGGTTATCACGTCTGCTTTACACGCAGAAGGTCCTGGGTTCGAGCCCCAGTGGAACCAGGAATAATTTTCTGCTTCGAAACTGAGTGGAAGCCTCTGCAGTAGGTAGGTTACTATGCTGATAAATTATTAAAATGAAACTAATGTACACTTACTCTATACTTCTAAAACTTTGCAAATATACAAAGTTCAGGCTGGACTCCACTTAAAAATACATAGCAATATTCTCTGAATGGCAAAAAAGCATATATGAAGCAAGGGTAACAGGACAACCTGTCTAAAGACTAACAGGTTGTCCTGTTACTCTTTGAAAATAGGTAGATCTTCTATACGTCTGTCTTTCTAACCTATTCTGGCCTAATGTGTCCACTTGTTGGCCGTGATATGACCGAATTGAGTGTGTAAGTTTCTTGTTGGTGTGAGATTATTTACACTCTAATGGTGAAAAATACTGGTTTGAAAGGCTACCTGTAAATTTTCTTTTTAAGGCCCCAACAGGCCCTACAGAAATATGATTCTGCAGTGTCTGGATGAATAAGTGATGGGCAAGAGGAAGCTACACACCACTAGTGGATGGTTTTGTGCCGTGGTCTAACAAGAATCATGTTTCTAAATGTAAATAACAGCAGAAAGGTGGGGATCAACTTCAGAAGGAAGATGAAGACTACATGGCCTGTGTCTATCCTGGGGTAAGATGTTGGCGTGGTGGACGACTACAAGTAACACATCGACAACAGGCTGAACTAGAAGAGGCTGTATACAAGAAGAGGGTGAGCAGGCACTGGCTGGAAGGTGGACACTTCTAAAACTGCAGTGGACAGGAGGTCACTTAACAAACTGCTTTCTATCTGGGATAATTCTAACCACCCTCTACAAGACTTACTGGAGAACCTTCTCTACCAGACCAATTCAGCTCTGCTGCCACGAGGACAGAAACGGAAAACCCTTCATACCTCAGGCAATAACTACAGTACAACACGTGTAAAGCAGAAAATCATCTGAATGTTCTGTATGCTCATTTAGACATTTTATTTGAATCCTATGTGGTAACAAAACTTTATTTACTGAATTTTAGAATTTTACTTTTGCTTTGTTGATTCTGAAATGCTTAATTATTATAATTTTTAATGCTATTATCATTGTTGCTGTTTTTATTATTGAAGTGGTGTAACAAAAGAATTTCCCACACCTGAGATAAATATAGTATATTTTATCTTATTGTTATCTTTTAACAGCATTAATTTAGTAATTAGTATTGTGATTCTGCAAACACATACCTACAAAAACTCCCATTAACTCCCATTTCTCAAGACCATATTTTCAGTGTCCTAAACTGAATCAATCATCCTTTTGGCAAAACAAGTTTCACCTACTTAGACACAATTTGCAGATCCTATTTAACTGTATTTCAAAATGATAAACATGCGATCACTCCCTAAACACATTTTTCCACAGTGATTCGCATGCAATGCATAACTTCTAATAACACGAGGCAGAAGTAGATATCAATACAGCACAGACGTCATTTATCAAACACAACGCAAAATTTTTCTGAGGTAATTAAACTGCAACAAGACAGTTTAGAGGACTCAGAAAGCAAGCGAGAGCTGAAGGTTGATACCAATAACTGGTGAAAGCAATGTGACGTAAAGGAGGAAGAAGTAGGACGATGCGGAAGAACAATATCAAAAATAGTAATTTAAGTAGAACTGTGAGACCATGGTTTGACATTAAATGACAGCCCATATGAAAAGAAACTTCTAGACTTCATTAGACTTCCACTCACATCATTAGGTACAACGTTTCAGCTGTTCGTTAACACAAATATTTAACTGGCAAATCATATGACACCGACTCATTGCAAATCAAAACAACCTGCTGAAGTTCAAACAAAGTATCAGAATGGAGAAGTAAAGTGCTTTAAGTGACTCTGACTGTAACTCTGACACTCTGGTTGTTGGTGCCAGACAGGCTTTTCCTTCAGAAACTGCTAATCCACTGGGATTTTTCCACAGAATATATCTCCAGAGTTTACAGAGAATGATCCAATAGAGAGGAAATACCCAGTGAGTGGCAGTTCTCTAAGTGATGTTGATGCCAGACGTCACAGGAGAGTGACCCGGCAGCATTAGGCTGATAGGAAGGCAACAGCAACTCAAATAACAACTCATTACAATCCAGGTATGCAGAAGAGCATCTATGAAAGTTTTTCCATATTTCCCACACTTACAGGTTTTAAATCATCAAACAAATTTTAAAATTAGACAAAGATAACCTGAGTAAATACAGACATTTAATGATGATTTCATGTATTTAAAAAAAAAAGCTATCCAAACCTAAGTGAAAAGTAATTGCTTGTTAAACCACTTGACAGCAACAACTGCAATCAAGCGTTTGCAATAACTGGCGATGAGTCTTTTACATCGCTGTGGAGGAATTTTGGCCCTATCTTATTTGCAGAATTGTTTTAATTCAGTGACACTGGAGTTTTGAGCATTACTGGGCTGTTCACAGTCATGTCAAAGCATCTCAATGTGATTGGATAGCCAGACCTTGATAAGGTGACTTCAAAATCTTAATTTAGCTTCTTTTTTTTTGAGCCACTCAGAGGTGGAGGTGTGCTTGAGGTTCAGGGCACAAACCGACTGCAGGACATTTTCCTTCAGGATTTTCTGTTACAGAGATGAATTCATGGCTCCATCAATTACAGCATCCTGAAGCAGCAAAGTGGCTCCAGACCATCACACTAACAGCACCAAAAAAGTTCAACTTTTGTTGTCTTTTGGCAGCCTTTGTGTTCTTTTTGGTCATTAATGGTCTTTCCTATTGTTGAATCATGAACACCGACCTTAACTGAGGCAAGTGATGCCTGCAATTCTTTACATGTTTTTCTGGGTTCTTTTGTGATCTCTGGGATGAGTTAACAATGTGCTCTTGGAGTAAATTTGGTAGGTTGCTCTGGTTAAGGTTCACCACTGTTCCAAGTTGTCTCCATTTGTGGGTAATGGCTCTCACTGTAGTTTGCTGGATCCTGAATCCCTAGAAACTAGTTTGCAACATCTTTGTAATAGATGCCAATGACTTTTTTTCCCCTCAGTTCTTGAGTTTCTTTAGATTGTGGCATGATGTGTTGCTTTTTGAGATCCTTTAGCTTCTTTCGCTTTATCAGACAGCTTCTATATAAGTGACTTCTTCATTCAACAGGTCTGGGAGTAATAAGGACTGTGTGTGAACTAGTGTAATTGAACTCAGGTTTAAAAAAATTGTGGCTATTTACAGTTCATTCATGATTTCACAGGAAGTGCAGTACCTTTTTCACACAGAGGCAGGTAGGTTTGGGTAGTTTACCCCTCCCCCCCAACAACAATGGCTTGTCTCCCACGCTGGGAGTTTTGTTTTTCTCTGGGTTGTTGCACTTATTACTATTTTAATTATACTTTTAAATTAATGAAATAACAGGATAAAAATAATAATCAACAGTTTAAAGTATCTAAGGCTGCTTTTGCATTCTCTTACTGTAACCCATTAATTAATAATAACAATTAATAATGGCAACAGGTGTGTGATTATCCAGGTGCACCAGAAATTATACGTTACGACAGTTTTACTACATAAAATAAAATGGAAATAAAACAAAATAAAATAGTTGAACAAATAATAATTAATAATCGCTGACAATAAAGCCTCGCTATTCAGTTAGCCAGGTGTTGCCAGTTTACTATCAACAGCTTATAAAGTAAGCAGTTTTTAATTAAAGAATCACTCACCAAACCTCCTTCTTCTTTGCCTACAAACAAGTGCTAATACTTATAAATAAAAACCTTTTTCAATACGTTAGGAATGGTTGCGCTGCTGGGATTTTAATTTGGCCTTTTCCCCACCCACCCCCCTGCCCCCCTTTTTTTCTTTCTTTTTTTTTTTTTTTTATGAACGGATGTTGTCTCCTTCTAGTTTCCGGTGTAACATTAAATTCTGTCCCCAAAATGGCGAACGTATCTGTTGCCAACGCCGCTGCTGCGGCCGCAGCTGCAGCCGCGAATAGAGACCCAGCCGTTGACCGGTCACTACGATCGGTGTTCGGTAAGTTTGTTGCTTTTAGGTCGCTGTGTTTGGGTAAGTTTATCCTCTGGGTGCTCTGGAAGAATGTAAGGAAGCGGGTTGTGAATGAAAACTTGCTAACATGGATGTCAGGCTAGTGTTGCTGTTAGCTGAACACCGCGCGAGGGAAAGTTAAAAAGAAATAGCAAGAAAAGGAGCCTCGAATTACAAATCCTTCTTCTGTTT